CGACCTGAATGGTAGTACGATAAATACTGAAGCTATCTCACCCGGCACGTGTCTCATTTCACAGCTGGATGAATTACTTGCTTTGTTGTTCTATACGAGACAAGAGTGGACTGCAAAGAAACAGAAAAAATTGAAAAATGTCCCAGGATCTGATTAGGGTGTTGAAGAAGTTAGGAAATACAATTGTTGAAGTAATTGAGACATCAATATTGGATCGGAATCAAGAACAAGATTGTACAGCGCCAGAAATTTACTTTACGATGATTCTCCGGAACGCTCTTGATTTGTGAAGAGTCTCGTGGACACGATACCTAAAGAACAGAATTTCCATTATCTACATCAATGTGCAACACCAACATAGTAATAAAAGTTTTAAATTATCGGGACGACATTATTATTAAATTAGTGTACCCGTGCCATCAAACTTGACAGCAAAAAGGAATGTATTATTTTGAAAGTAATTTTCGTTTGATCCAAGTACAATTTTGTAATTTAAAATAGTTCATTGTTAACGTTAATAATTGAACAGTGTACAATTTATGAACACCTAAGGAAAGATATCCGTATTTTATCCTCATAAATTGTACATATTTACACCTAAAATTATGTTTACTGCAAAACTTCCCAAAGCACAATAATTTTTTGTGTAAAGATTGGAAGGTCTGAGTAATCCTTGACAGTTTATAGGTTCAATCTGTAATTTCAGAGTCTGCTTATTTATCGTCCTACTAAGAGCAACGTATCATCATATATTTTTTAATTTATTTTTTTTTCTAAAGCTATTACCAAATTCCACAAGATATGCCCCGAATCGTAACATAAAACTGCATTAAAAATATGTAATTATTTAATTGTAAAAGCTTTTAATTGCTATCATAAATAATATGAATGAAGGAGGTTGTGTAAATAAAGATAAACAACTCTTTTGATGTCTGATGAATTTTTATAAGAATTGTTCCCCACCTCCTTTTTTTAATTATAATTTTTAAAGTTTAAAATGAATTTCTAAAAATAAACAAAGCATTCTTGAAGATATAAGCGGCGTATTATATATACGAACCCTCTTCAATAGCGATAATAGTACACGTCAACAGGACCAAGTCAGCACGGCACCGGGTGGGGGGGGTCATCGTTATTTTGCACACGGCCTCCTCAATTGTTACACACATAAAAGACGTATATACACACCTGTCAAAATCTTAAGACCAGATACAAAAGTGTTAAAAAAATATAAAATACTGTTACTTTAATCAAAATATATTTGTGAAAAAATTACATTTAATTAGAAAATGTAATTTATCAGCAAACAAGTGAAAATTTTAAGCTTTTAATTGATTAATTTAAACAAACATTGAAAAAAGGGGATTTTTCTGGTTGGCCATAAAGATAAGAACATGAAAATAAAAAATAGAAAATTCAGAACTAATAAGTCACAACGACAATTTAATCCTTTTTTCAATGTTTGTTTAAATTAATCAGTTAAAAGCTTAAAATGTTCACTTGTTTTTTGATAAACTGCATTTTCTAAATAAATTTAAATTTCTCGCAAATATATTTTGATTAAAGT